CGTATAGTCTTCATGGCTAAGGGAGCAAAGCGCGGCACCCTATGGGTGTCAGGCTTCACACTAACTGTCCCTACTACTTTATAAGGCGTATAGCCTTCACGGCTGAGGAAGCAAAGCGCGGCACCCTATGGGTGTCGGGCTTCACACTAACTGTCCCTATCTACTACTTTATAAGGTTTTTTGTAAAGTTTATTTATAACGATTTTTTTTGTAAAGTTTATTTATAATGATTTTTTGTAAAGTTTAATTATAACAATTTTTTTGTAAAGTATATTTATAACGATTTTTTTTGTAATATATATTACACAGGAAACAAAAAATTTTATAATGTAACCACGAAATTTGTAAGAAAACAGTGTTTTTGCGGTATTTTGAGGTTTGGTTGACATTATTACGATTGGTACTCATCCAGTAACATTCACTGATGCTCATATTATAATTCTGGTAAATATTATGACCGTTATTTTTAATCATATACTAAGAAATTATAAAAAACCTGCAAAACATGAAATTTTGTGAAAAAACAGCGCGATCTTTCATGAAAAACATAAAAATTTAAATTCCGTGAAGAAGTACTCGTATCTTAAACTACAAGCCTGTATGCCATCAAATATACACGATTCCCTTATAGAAATATCATACTAAGGATCATTGATAATTACTTATTATCCAGTATTTTTAATACTGAAAATAAGTAATTATCAATAATTCTTAATATGATATTTCTATAAGGGTTAGCCAGATCCACAAATGCATTCCTTGTCGAAATGGCGTTTAAAGCAAAAAGGATCGATGATTTTTTCGATTTCTCCAACTTTAAGCCGCCATATTGGATTTCATATTGATGATAATAAAAAAAAGGTCAGATTCTTAAAGAGCACACTCAGAATCTACAGTATACTAACTTTAGCTAAACTCGCTCATGATTTAATATAAAATTTACAGCAATGAACAACAGATAAAATTTATGCCATTTTAGGACGAAACGGGTTAATACAAGCACAAGCTAGTACCATTCCTTTGTAACCGCGATTCGTTGCGGTTCTGAATCGCTTGTCGGATCGGGTTCGTGATAGGCGGAATAATTGAGAAACAGTGTTTTAAGAAAATAATAATGAATAATATATTTAAAATACTAAACTGATGATAATGACAATATATATCGAACAATACGTGTCGACGCCTTTGGCTTTGGTTGTTTGTATCGCCTGACAGAGGTTTGTTTAGACGCCGATTTGTGTGATGTGACGCGCGGTGCGCGGGGCGCGGACGACGTCAGTGTCGCGTCTTCGCGAGTCTAGGCTGTTGACGTTTCTTTCGGCGTCGTGTCTCTTAAGTGCGGTGGACACTTTTCCCAGTGATGCTTAGCGGCGTTTCGGAATCATATAATGTTCGCGGGTGTTGAGATTGCAGCGTAACTGCACGCGGGATATCACCTTAGCGGTGCTCCCTTCGATCTCCTATCGCGGAGATTTGAATCGGTTCGGTGTATGCGGTGTGGCCGTCGGTCCTCGTACACGGGACCTTAGCTCTCGGAGTTTCCTCTAT